ACGAAGTTATACGATCCATTAAAAGTAAGCGTTCTTGTCTGGGACGGTAGTAAAGTGCCATAGACTGGGAGTCAAGGGTGGTGAACTACGGCCTTAAACGGCGAATAATGAAAGGCAAGATAGTGAGATGACCCTGGTGTGAACGGCGAACTTCAGTATGTTGCTAGCAAAACTCACATCGCCCATGGACTTGAACCGTGTAACGCAGCGTCCATGAGCGCGACGCTTGACACTGCACCACAAAGCACTGCTGGTTCACTTTGAAAGAATTGTAGAATGCAAGGTAGTAACCTGAGAGGGTTGCAAAACCTTGGGTTTCGAATGGAACTGATCCCGCGACCGATCCTATGTCCACACGGAACGAACCCGCTGCGCCAATCGACGTGTTAGGTTGGAGACCATTTCCATGAAATTGTATAGAGGTGAAATGCTCCCATGACCAAGGAAGGGGCTGTAACACAATCAATAAGTGGAACAATAATGGGGACAGCTGGGGACACCTTATTGGCAGAAAGTTATCAATATTATCGATAGCTCCGGTGGCTTCCTCAACACCTATCACCAATCACCCTTCTTCTCTTCGCTCTGCGACATGGCAGGGATGCAAACACGCTCTACATGACGTGCAGAGAAAGGGGAAAGTGCATGGGGATTGCAGAGATCACTAAATGTACTCAGGGGTACATATTGGTCGCCCTCTACATGACCCTCTGCGATCTCTGCGTTCTCCACGCTCTTTACCTTTTCTCTGCCCAGGTTCGCCGACTAGCCTTAGGTGCCACCTAGGACATTGGCCACTTGGGATGCGGCCCAGACCTCGCCCACTGCGGCACGTCAGCGCGAGTTTCGCGCCTTTCCCCATGCTTTGCGGGTGGGGACGAAGGCGAGCACTGCGTGACCTATTGGCCAACTATAGACTGGCCATTTAGGACACTTTACTACCGTCCTGAGGAAGGAGCGGAGTTGAACCGTTCTTTATTTTTGCTTATAATGGTTTTCTTTATTTTTCTATATTAATGGTTTTTCTTTCTTAATTCTTCACTCTGACAGGTTGTCCGATGATCCGATGATTAATGGGGACACCGCCACCGCTTCTGACCTTTGCGCTTACAACCCCCCCTTATTCTATCAAGTACCCCTTGTATTTCGAATTTGAATTGTACGAATGGACATTCGACCCTCTTGCTACTCCCTCCAGACATTTAGAGTGTTCCCAAAAATGCTGACTCAGACTAGCAACAAACGTGCTGCTATGATGCTTGTGTGTGGAGAGGCCTTGGTTACCACTGAACGTCCAACGTATGGCCGTTTTCACCTCTATGACTTATTCATGAACCACCTTCACCTTTTTGACTTTCATTTCGTACTAACCGACTTTTGACCACATTTCCAGTATTTTTTCTTTCAGTGTCACCTTGACTGAGTGATCAAAATTCATGGTTTTGTCTAGAATAAAGAGCTCCCTCTTCCCGATTCCATTATTATCAAAAGCTCAACCTGTAGAGAAAAAGTGACGAGAATGAGCCAACTATTGACTTGGTAGGATTACCCATGATTCCAAAGACATTATTCAGTCTTTACATATCTTCCTAGGTTTGTCTCAGATCATAGAAGCGCAAATTCTTTAGATCAGTACTTCCGATTTATACGAATTTATTTGGTTTCGCCACGAATATTTATCGAGAGCCTTCTCTTGTATTTCTACGTGGAATTATTACAATACATTTTTGGCGATCAACACCAATTAATGATTAAGTCTCTCAAACTAATTATGAATTATTAAAGATATATTTTATAGATGATCGGGCACAGTACTATACATCGAAGAAGCGAATCGAAGTAGGAATATGGAGCAGCCAGTGGTAAGCTAACTCTGCCTCCTTGGCGCACTGAAGAGGTTCCTTTCTGATTTCCATAAATTCAGAAAGCGCTGGCGATATGTCTGTTCATTGCAAAGTCGACAGCCTGCATGTGGCCTTCATCCGATGTCCTCTTCATCATTGATGGCACTTTGAGCCTTGATCAGTTCCAGTTCCAGAAAGAGATTTCGTTCATTAGTCAGGTTCGTTGATATGTGAATTTGCTGCACGCATAGTTTCAAAGAATGCAACGCACTCGGTGTCAAATGCTTATCTCGGAAGTGAACATTCACCTCTCACTCGGAAAGACCACTCGTCTGTTTATTGGAGCACCATAATGACCTATGGAAGTAGGGTGATAGTGGGCCGGAGGGTTTTTCCTTCTAAAATAGATCTATAACAGGAATCGTTAGTTTTTCCTTCTAAAATAGATCTATAACAGGAATCGTTATTCTGGCAAACAAATATGCTACCAGACAGTCAGTCAAACTCGGCAGGGCAGAAACAGGGAAGTTTGGTTGGCCTGTACGGTACCCAGGGAGGAGATCCATTGACCGTCGCAGTAGGCTGAGCGCCGTCTGCTACTACCCATCTCTACGCACACCCTCTGCAGTCGTGGGCCATGGAGCTGCTGAGCTTACAATACAAAGTTTCGTATTACCGGTACCGATTCTCATTTGATCAAGGGAAAGATCCAGTCATGCTTTCGAGTAGCGAGTACGTATTCATGAGGATTCAGACATTATTAGCCGTCATCAGTGGAAGGCCATTTGACCACAGACCCATGCCGATATTTTGCTAAATTTGTCTGAACATGCTTCGCTCCTACCTACTTCGTGAATTCATATGGCGCTAATCCACAAGGACCAGCCAGCGCACGGCAAGCCTGGGCACGTTTCTGGGAGTCGTGTAGGGGTTTCTAGACACTCATCAATTCTACCCTGGCGATCCCTCCTTCACCAGCCAATGAACTACTTTCCGGTTCTTCAAAGATCAGCAGGGCCAGAGATAGAGATGTACGGCTTCATATAGTGGCCCAATAAGCGATAGTCGGAAATTTTTACATTTTTTTAATTTTAATTTTACATTTTTCTTTCTTTTCTTTTTCTCTCTACGTCTCCTTTTCGCCACAACAATTTCCCGTAACTACAACATTTATTTTTCCATCTACTTTTTATTTTGTTCTGATTAAACGGATTTCTTGAGTTTCAGACCCTATCGAATATGAAGATATCAGAAGAAGGGCTACAGTTGAGCTTAGCTCAGTTTACTCCCAAAGGACGGCAAGAATTTGGCCTTGATAAGGCTAAAAGCAATGTGGAAGCTAGGCGAGCATTAGAGGTCGGAATAGTTTTACATACGATTAAACCCTTGTCCATGGCGATCGAATTGTGACCAAAGAGTAAGAAAATAATTCAAGCAGGTACAGTTCTCCCCCTGTGACATGCTCTCGGATCGAACTCGTTGCACTCCACGGGCTAGCATCAATTCTCTCGCTGGAGAAGCTCTACAGACGGGAAACCGCAAATGGTTACCGGATATTGTGGTGGTCATATCCAGCGCCACTTATAGGATTCCTGAAAAGGTAGGCTACAATCCTATACATAGCTCTGAATGCGTCTTGATGAATATCGCGCACGTCGGAATACAGCGTTCACAATCCCAGCGAAACTCTGCTCACATCCTAGGCAATTTATGGCATGTGATCGTCCACCATGGGCTCCTACACCCTTGCGCCTAAGAAAGGATGCCCATACCTCAGTTCGGGGCCACTTCCTTGGACCACAACAGGCCGAAATCGGGAACCACCTTACGAGTGCTTCCACACCGATTCTTATCATAAGTAATTTTGAGTGAATCAATTACGTGTCATAGAAACTCGTATCCTTTCCTTACCAGGAAAGCTATTCAACTTTTAATGGAACTTTGAAGACCCAGATATATCGATAGAGCTTCAAACGCTGATTACAAATATGGAAACTAAAACTGCAAAATGAACCTGCCAAAGGAAGTTGTGAGCAGTCAAAGTTGGCTGTGAATCGCTTTGCAGGTCCATTTTGCAATTTTAGTTTCCATATTTGTAATCAGCGTTTGAAGCTCTATCGATATATCTGGGTCTCAATTCAAAGTTCCATGGGAAGTTGAATGCCTTTCTTGGTTAGTATTGGAGAGCACAATGGAGTGGCGTCTCTGTACTGGAGTTTTACCAGCACTGAGGTTTCTATGTGCGAACGTATAGAATCCCTCAGCAGCGTGAGTATTAGATTTCTAGTGCTGGAAATCCACTGCTATGAAATTCTTGCTTTTTGACTCTAAGACCTCATACAACAACTTGGTCCATTTTCAACGTTAGAATTTTTCTTATACTCACTGGAAATAAGGCGCTCTCAGTACCATGACAAAAACTTTTATTGGCTGGCGTTTCAATTTTATGATTTCAGTTACAACATTAATTTTTGGCCAACTGTCATACCCTTCACAGTTCTATTTATCTCTAGTTCGTGTAAGTGTTCCGATCTTTTCATGCTAAATTTCGGGGACAGGTGGCTAAAAATAATTATGGAAGGCGTAAAGCATCGGTTGAGCTTCCCGGTGAGCACGGCGATGGATACGGTAGGTACGGTGTTAAGGCAAGGTATGAGGAGATTCATAGTTTTCGTCATAAAACAAGGAAGCGAGGAACAATGTCGATTCCGCAAGGGTATCATGAATCGGTTAGCAATTAGGAAAGAACCTATGCACGGGAGCACGGGAACGGGAAAATGTGCATGTGCACGGCAAGCAGATTCACCTCTTTTCCAGAAGTCCTGTACCCTGGCTACAAAGCCGTCTCGCGTTTTACAGTATGAGCAATTTCGTAAAATCAATGGCAATCCATTTCAGCTTCCTCAGGAGACCCTGTTCTCTCCAATATCACCTTTACATATGTTCTACATTATTGTCGGTGGACCGTCTCCGGATGAAAAGCGCTTCGAGCCGTCAGCGACTTCTATCAATCTGAACGCCATCGATTTCTCTGCTCTCGAACGGCTGGTGTTACCACTTTGCGAAACGGTTAATTCTTTTGTTGG